TAACTAGCTTTATTATGGCACCAGTGGCCTTAAGAACTCCTTTTAAATATAGGTTAGAGGTGAAGTATTAATGTCTGATAGCTTAGAAATTGGGGTGTGAAAATGAGAAACAAGAGATAAAGACGCCCAGTGGTGCACTCAGCATTGAGGGGGTGTCCAGTGGGGTAGGGCAGGGAAGGTTCCCAAGCTCTACCCTCCTGTGGGTACCCAGGAGCCCCGCTGGCTCCTGTTGCTGCGTGCTGGACCCCTGCCCTCAGCTGAGGCCCCTCCTTTGGCCCATGTCTCCATAGCAGCCTGCAGGCCTGGCGGCCAGTGCTGTGCACTGCGAGCTCTGCTGCTTCCCTCCTGGCCTTCCACGGTACCCACCTTAAGGAACTTGAGAATCACTCACTGAAAGACAGGGCAGCAGGCTGGCCCTGGGACAGCCCCACAGCCAACACCTAGCTAACTAATGGGGGATCCCAGCACTCATCACACACAGGGATTCAATGATCCCTCCTCCCTGCTCCCGTGAGGCCTGGCTGGATCTGATCAGAGTTCATCTAGGAGGCAGGGGGAGCAGAAAAAAGATGGGCAGGTTATGGAGGGTGACATGCTGAGAAAGAGCAAAGATCTACAAGGTTCCAGAACATTCTGGGGTAGCCACAGGAAGCCAGCAGTCCTGGCTGCATGCTCAGGGACAAGCAGAAGGATGGGCAACATGCTGTGGCTGTGAAGGTAGGGTGAGGGTACTGCATTTGGGTGCTCGGTGGTTTGGGCTTTGTAGCCCCTGACACCCTAAAACTGTCCTATCTCCACTCCTCTCAGGAACAATGGGCAGGGTCAGGAGCCGAAAGCCAACAGGCATCTTCAACCTGTGACATCCCTGTGTTGTCCTGGACAGGCCTCTGACCTTACTGAAGTTGCCCCACTGCCCACCATGGACATGAGAGTCTGAGGTGTTGGTGGTGGGAGCCAGACACGCCTGTATGTGTCCCCATACTGTCCTCGGAAGAGTAGGCTGCACCCAAGAAGGGGCCCCAGGCCCTTCCCGCCCTTCCCCACCACCAGAGCCCCCTCCTCCAGCACTAGGTGGGTCCTTTCACTTTAAACGATTATTTTTTTAAAAAATAAACTAAGCTTTCATGAACACATTGCTCCCCTTATATAAGAACATGTTTGATCTTCCTAAGAAAATCCAGTAAAGCACAAGAAGAAACTGGAGATTCACTACCCTGCCCATGACAAAGGCAGTGAACATTTCCTGTATTTTTTCCAGTTTGTCCTGTGTAAATATTTGTGCATGAAATTGAGATCACATTGTAAACTTATATCTCATTTTTCAAACAAACAACAAGCCGGGCTTTCTATGGTGACCATTCCCTGGGGGCCATGCATCATGCTTGGAAGAGGCGGTGGGTTGGAGCCTAACACTGCACCACAAGGGTATGGATCACCAGCTCTTTGACCAGAGCCTGACTGGTGCACACGGTGGCCTGTTTCTGGTGTTTGCATGTGGAAGAACATGCACCCAGCTGTCTTGTTGCTGAGATGCCGGTGGCAAAGGCAGAGGCTTAGCTTACTACACCACAGTGCTGGCCCCTCAAGTTTTATACCTTAGGTCTGCAAATACATCTTTCTTTTCCTTCACACTTCCTTGTCTTGGATTTGTGCCTAGGAATCCCCTGATGTTCAATATCTTGGGTCTATATTTGTGTGGTTGGATGTTTCACTGGATTATATGTGATACTTTATTATTTATTAGATCTGTATTTATCACATTTATTTATATTATGTATACCCCCTCCATTTACATTTACCCCATACTAGGTTATCTGTGGGGGCTGTTTTCAGTTATCTATTTAATTCAAGTGAAATGTATGCTAATTCCTATGCAAATATAATCTTGTTCCAATTATCTTCACTTTATGACATTTGAACTAAATTTCTTCATTTGCTTGGTTTTCAAAAATTTCCCAGCCATTCTTGATGGTTCATATTTCTAAATAAACCTTGGAGTCACTTCATCAAATTTCCAATTTTTAATCTGGGAAAAAATCAACATCTCTATTACACCCAGTCTCCTTATGAGGAATAGCTATATCATTTCACTTATTTCCACTTTTTCTCCCATCAGGAGCAAAGTGCAATTTTCTTCCTATAAGGCCCCATGTTTGTCTTATTAGGATCACTCCAGGTACTTCACAATTCTGCTGATCACCGTCCGGGACACATGTTTCTCCCTAAAACCAGGGCTTGCCAGGTCTTACATGCAAGTATTTCATTGGGCCATTGCCTGCACCAGGACACAGCTATCGCTTAGGAGCCATTCAGGGCACGGTGGTCCGGCAGGCTCCATGTCCCAGCGACGGGCCTCTGTCTAGTGTTAGGGACATGCTGTGCTGGCCACCCAACAGAGGTGTGCAATGGTGCAGTTCTCTGGACACACCCCTGTGACCGCGTGGCTTGGGGGCACCTGGCTGGCTCACTGTATTCCTCTGTTGGCTGGACAAGCTGTGTACTCATTCTTGGGGGTCTTCTGGACCCAGAACGATGACAGTGCTGTCTGCCCTTTGCCACTACTAAGTTCCTCTTGAGTTCCCACAGCCACACCAACACGGCTGCCCTCGACAGCCCCTAAGCTGGCATTTCCCAAAGTTAGCTCTGCAGCATGTCTGCCACCTGAGGAGAGGACTCCATCCAGATGCATGAACCCTGATGCTGCTCACCATGCACAGGGAGCACGCCCCCAGAAGCACCTGACCTGCAGTGTTGGACCACAGGACTCTGGTTGTCCCGTGTCAGTTTCATACCAGCCCAGCTCTGGCTATTGTCCTTGTTCTGGGAGTGAGCCAGCAGATGCAAGATTTCTCTCTCTTCTTTACCTCTCTATCTCTCCTTTTCTTTGTAATTGCCTTTCAAATACAAATAATTTGATATAAAAAATATTCACCAAGGGTTGTAACTAGGCCCACCAAAGGCCTAAGTGTTCCTAAGATGCCAGAGGAGCCTGGCTGGGGCTGCAAGAGCTGAGAAGAAGGGCAGGGTCACTGGGACAGACCAGCCTGCTGGGACAGAGTACTCCACAGGCCGCTGTCCTGGCTGGGTCACACCCATGGGGACAGAAGGCCCCACACCTCGCTGTCCTGGTCACACAAGCAGGGACAGAGGGCTCTGCAGCTCGCTGTCCTGCTCACACCTGCAGAGGAGGCTGGGCCTGGCAGTCCTCACAGCTGCCTCTTGCAGGACCAATGTGCCTGGATACTATTCTTCGGGCAGGAGAAGGGTCTTGTGGCAATCACCGCTGTAGCTGACCCTAGGGGACTGGGCTCCTATCTGAGAAATGGGCTGTCACGTCACACACCTGCCCTCTACCCTGGGGATGAAGGGGTTCCAGGCTAAGTGCAGTCCCTGCTGGCCACTGCCCAGGCCTGCCCTTCTCAGCATCCCAAGCCATTGTCCCCCTGGGTCCAGACCCAAATCCACATACAGCTGGGAAAGAGGTCTCTAAGTCAAATGGCAGGAGGTAAGAGCTGGGGCAAGGCATGGAATATATACCCAACTCTTGGAAATATATTCAAATGAAGTGAAATCTGTATATGAAAAAAGGATATGCAACCTATATTTACAGCAGCATAATCCACAATAGTGAAAACATGGAAACAACCCAAATGCCCATTGAAACAGGAATGGCTAAAGAAATTGTGGGTATAGTTACTCCATGGAATACTACTCAGTCATTAAAAAGAAATTCTACCATTTGCAACAAAATGTTCCAATTGAAGACCATTAGGCTCATTGAAATAAGCCAATCCCAAAAGAACAAATACCATATGTTCTCTCTGATATAACACAGGATTCATGCAAAATGCAAAACAAATACATATTTAGGTGAACAAGTGTGTGTGTGTGTGTGTGTGTGTGTGTGCGTGTTCTCACGGCTGAATTGAATAATGGAGACTAGAATGCTGAGAAGTGAAGACAGCCTGCAGTAGGCATCTCTACTCCTGAGTAAAATGAGAACTCCCAGGTAAACAGCTAAATGTATATTGACAAATATACTTCAATACTACCTTTGCCTATACCCAAGCCCTGACACACATAAATAGCAAATTGTTAAGCTTATAACTATTACTAAAGGACTATACTACTGTAAATACAATGGGGAAAAAGTGAGAAGGTAAAATAGGGAGGAAGAAAGGGGAGCGAAAGAGGGGACTCCCTATACTTACAAAACGCAACCATGGCAAATAATAAAAATAATTTTAAAAACAAAAAGAGGAGGCAGGTGGAGCAAGAGCAACTGGGTAGGACAAGAGAAGTGGAGTGGGGTGGGGTAGGACAGCGGGTGCCAACCCGTAAGGCAGGGGGAGAGGAGGGCAGAGACTGAAGGCAGTGGCACAAGGCTCAGTGAGGGATTGGGTAACCATGCGGCCTGATGCTTTGACACTGGGGATTTCACTGACCCTGGGGGGACAGCCTCTCTCAGGGCCAGCCAATGCCTAGACACAGCAAACAGTTTCAGCAAACTGGCCCATGCCAATCCAGATCCCCAGCCAGTCCTCTGTGGGACTCACATGCTGGGCCACTGTCCATAAGCAGCACTCAGGGGCACAGACCTTCCTCCAACGTCCACTGAAATCCTGCAGGTGGGCCGCTGAGGCCTGAGGCCCCAAGGACTTTCCACAGCAGGTTCCTGTCCACCAGGCCGCCTCACCCAGGCCACCAGCTGTGCTGTGGCCCCTCAGGACACAGCACAGCCCTTCCTCCAGGGCCCACCAACATCCTGCAGGTGGCTACTGAAGCCTGGGGTACCCAGGACTTTCCACAGTAGGCGGTTCCTATCTGCTAGCCCGCCATGCTCTGGCCTCCTGGCGAGTACCAGCTGCCCCATGGCCCCTCATGACACTGCACATCCTTCCTCCAACATTCATGTCCCCTAAGGGCGGTTGTTTCCGGACATGGCCTCAGCATCCCGAGAGGCAGAGGCTGTGGCATTCATGCTCCGGGTATTCACTCACCTTCCCATAGCTCAGCAGGATGATCCGCACCAGCACCACGTTGATGTGGGCCCCCAAAGACTCATCGTGGTAGATTTCATTGACCTAAAAGACAAGCAGCGTGTGGTCAGCAGTGCCCCCCGAGCATTGCCCTTCTGGGACCACCCCTTATATCTCCTTCCATACACCCCTCTCCTGCTTGCTGCCCTGGATGTCCCCAGAGTCACTCTCAGGCCCAGCCCCTGGAATTCTTCACCTGGAGCAAAAGCCTAGACAAGGAATCAATCCCTGTATTGGCTGTCTGAATTGCATCTTTCCTTCAAAACCTGGCAAGCCCAGGTGGTGCGGCCCCGCCCCCAGCAGACAACACTGCATGGCTACTGCTGTTGGCAGCTGTGGTGTCCCCACTTGGGTGGGGACAGAGCTTCTGCCAGGTCTTAGTGTCTCCTGAGTTACTGAGGACCACACATCCCAGGCAACAACATCACCCCTGGGTGTCTACGGTTGAGAGGGCTCCCAGAATCCAAATCCACCAACACTCACATTACATATAAAATGTAGGTGTTCTTTGCATGAAACCCACATACTTCATCTATTTTCTTTTTAAGATTTATTTATTTTTATATGTGAGGCAGAATTAGAGAGGAGGAAAGACAGAGCTCTCTCAACTGATGGTTGACTCCCTAAATGGCTGTAATGGCTGGAGCTGGGCTGGTCCAAGCTGGCAGTCAGTAGCCCCTTATGGGTCTCCCAGGCAGGTGCAGGGGCCAAGGACTTGAACCATCCTCTGCTGCTTTCCCAGGTGCATTAACAGGAAGCTGGGTCAGAAGTGGAACAGCTAAACTGGAGTCCATAGGGGATGCTGGCACTGCAGGCAGAGGCTTAACCTGATTTGCCATGGCACCAGTCCCCTCCCTAAACTTTAAATCAGCTCCAGAATGACTAGCAATACCTGCTACAATGGCCTGGGCAACCTGTAGGTAACTGCTGTGCTGTATTGTATCATCAAGGGAATGAGGACAAAGCAAAGGTCTGTACAAAATGTGCAGTTCAGAGGCAACTGTTCTGAACTCATTTTTTTTAGGGGCCAGTGCTGTGGCATAGTAAACCAAGCCTCTGCCGGTGGTACTGCCATCCTGTATTGACACCAGCTCCGCTTCCAATGCAGCTACCTACTTATGGCCTGGGAAAGCAATAAAGCATGACCCAAGTCCGTGGGCCCCTGCATCCATATGGGAGACCCAGAAGACGCTCCTGCCTCCTAATCAGCTCAGCTCAGCTCTGGCCATTGCAGTCATGTAAAGAGTAAACCAGCAAACGGAATACCTCTCTCTGTCTGTCCTTCTGTCTATGTAATTCTGCTTTCCAAATAAAAATAAACTTTTAAAGAACTAAAATAAACTCATATTTTAAAAAGGATTCATTTTAAGTATTTGAATTTGAATGACAGAGTGACAGAGATCAAAAAAAAAAAAAAGACGTCTCCATATATTGGTTTACACCCTAAATGGCCAAAGCCAGAAGCCTGGAACGTTTTTGGAACTCCCTATTGGGTGGCAGGAGTCCAGGCACTCAGGCTACTGGATGCTGGTAATACACCAGGTGCATGAATTGGAAGTTGGATTGAAAGTTGAGCAGCTGGGACTTGAACTGGCATTCACATTCGTGGTTTATTTAATTTATTTATTTGTTTGTTTTTGTACTCCCAATGAAACTTCATTTTTATTATTATTTTTAATAATCTTACTTAGTTGATTAGGGTACAAAGGGTCAAGGGCTACAGGAAAGTGGGTAAGACCATTGTTTCCACACTAATATCATCATTTTTCCCCTGTATCTGGGGTCAGGGGAGAAACAAAGGGAGAAGCCCCACCCAGCCTCCCACCCATCCCAGGTCCCTGATGTGAGGCGCGCTCCGAGAGTCCTGCTCAAGCAGTTTTGATAGTTCAACAGGTTTGAATTGCTGCCAATCTCACTGTTCCAATCAGGATGAAGCATACGTGGTTTAAACGCAAGTGGTGGCTAAGCTTCTGTGCCTCAATGCTGCCCCGCAATCCTTTCCAGCAGTGATTGGCAGTATCCGCACAGGTAGAAGCCACGGACCCAAGTATCCCTTGACCTTTTTTAAAAAAATTTAATTTTATTTTTGATTATGTCTATGTCTATGTAGTAGTTGATTAGGTTGGAAGGGTTGAGGATCAGGGAAAAGTAGGTGGGAACATTCCTGGTTCCTGTGCTAGCCAGTATGTGCAGCAGACTGGTACAGTCAGTCCCACGTCCCATTCAGCCCTCATACATGTCAATGGGCATGGAAGCCTAGCTCATCCCAGCCGACCTTACTTACTATCCAGCCCACACTCATGTCGGTGGGTGCCACTGCCTGAGTAGTCAGACCTGCCCCCAGCCCTGGTTCTCATGCTCACCAGTGGGAGTTATAACCCATCAGAGAGGTGTCCATAGTTTCCCTACTGGGCCCACTCCCAGTCCTGGACCTCGCACTTCCCAGGTGGTTCTGTAGTCTAGCTTTTGTAGTTTGGTCCCAGGACTTGCCAGACGATGCTGTGGCAAAGCCCAACCAGTCTGCTCTTACTCTGGCCTGTGCATGTACCAGTGGGTACAGTTGGTTAGCCCAGCCTGGCTCTCCTTCTAACCCAACTCACATGCAGGCCAACAGGTATTGTAGCCTTGCTACAAATCCCATTTCTCATGCTCACCAGTGGCCCAGCAGAGGAAACCCTATTGCCCCCCTACCTGGCTCAGCACCCATCCACATCTGAGTCTCATGTGTGCCGATGGATGCTGTGGCCCAATCTGGCATGGCCTACTTTGGCATTTGCTGCCAGGTGCCACAGAGTCTGTGGCACCACAAAGGGAGGAGCCCCCACTTTGTATCACATGGCTGAGGACCTGCTGAGACAGGCTGGTTGCACAGGGGCTGCTCCCAATCCCAACAGTCCCATGGCACACTCAGGGCCACCTCTCTCACCACGTGACTAAACCCTTTCATCCCTATGGCCACCCAGCTCTGAGAAGCTCCTCCACAGGCCCAGTACTCTGTGGACTGCAGCACTGGTGCATTGTCCCTGCTGTGGGCCCAGGACGTATGGCAATGCCCATCAAAGGATCTCCCCATCCACCTAATCCAGCCTGTGCCTGCTGGCTTGTCCTTTCTGAGGACAGACACAGCAGAGCTGTGCCACATGGAGACACAGCCACCCCAGATAGTGCAGTGTAGCTCCGTACCCCAATTCCAACTTCTTTATCTGAGCAACAGTAACTGTTATCAATAGAGGCAGACATATGGGCCATCTGAGCATGAGCCAGGAATAGGAACCCACGATGGATGAAACAGACACATAGCTCGCCAGTTGGGCTGTGCATAAAGATGACTCCACGGGACCCAGATCTTCCACCCAGCTGTTCCAGAACTTCTTACCCAGGAGATACACACACATACACACATGTTTGTATGTGTGTGTGTGCACTTTGCTTCTGGGAGGGGCCATCTGTGCCTAGCTGCAGAGTGTGACGGTCACTGCGACTCCCTGCTATGGACATAGCCAGAGTCCAGAGACAGGGTGAGTCCCAGGTCCTCAGAGCCATCCACCAGCTGTCCTGATGTCCACCTGCACCTGACAAGCCAGAGCCCAGGGAGGGCACCCAGATCCTTTTGGAGGTGTGGCTGTCTCCCCGGCCATCCCACCCTGTGACGTCAGAATAATGGTTTCTATCCACCAGAGCTCTCATGAGCCTCAGATTTCTACATGTGTGCATAGGGCCATGTCTGTGTGACCTGAAAGGAAGGACCTGGCTGCTGCGGCTCCCTCGGAGGTATACATGCCCAAAGACAAAGCAATCCTTGTCTGTTGCTCAACTTTCAGGGCAAACTAGAATTTTCAGTTCATGTTGAAAAAATGGCTTGAAAAGCCAGCATTTCTTCTTATGAGAGAAGAGAATCTTACAGGCTTTCAAAGTATCTTTTTTTTTTTTTCTATTGAGATCAAAGTCTGCTCCATGTGGCTCCTGGATCATTCAGCTGAAAGTCATGGTGGACATCAAGAAAACTGTGACCACGACCAGCAGACCTAGAGGGGCAGGATGTGGGAGAGAAGACAGGCAAGGGGTGAGGCCACAGGCCCTCTTCCTCTGGCCCAAGCACTGAGGTCACGCATCAAGTTGAGAGCAAGCATAAAGAGTGTAAAATCACCCGGATGTTGGATGTAGAAAAAGTGTGAAAGCCAGAGAGAGCTGGGAGAGCACCACCCACACTGGGTGGCTCCAGAGAGCCCAGAGGCACAGCTTGGGAGGGTGGCAGCCAGCAAGCCTGGAGTAGGGATAGGCAGTTCCCGCTATGCGCAGAAGGTGCTGGGATCCCAGCACCCTGCTGGTGGGGCGGGGTTGGGGTGGGGTGGGTGAAGGACAGCACTAAGGGGAAGGAGGAATGCAGAGGTGACCCCAAGTGGTCCCGAGCCTGGAGTTGAAGTCCTGGGGAGATAACCAGAGCTCAATGAGGGCCTTCATTAGGATGGGGTCTGTACCCCTGTAGGGAGAGACAGCCAAAGAGCCTGCTGCTTCCCTTGCCCACCATATGACATGGGTCCCACTGACTCAAGCAGACCAGGATAAGGCCTAGCTCCGAGCTTAACTTCCAACCCATCTGGCAAGTCCTCTAAGGGCTGCTGAATGGGAGCAGGCAGAGCCCACCTTGCCATGCCATATGGTCCTTTGTGCTGGGACTGGCGACATCACACACAAAAGGCACCTGTGCCTGCAGTGCTCTTTGCTCTGGAGAGGGACACTGCTCTTCCCTCAGGATGGTGAGGAGCGGGGCTTTGCAGGGAAGCCGCCAGGAGCATGGGGGGAATGTAGTGGGTCCCTGAGGACTTGGCATGTCATGAGGGCTGAGGAAAAGAGACCGAGATGGTCTTTCTGAGGGCAGCAGCATGGACGGAAGTCCTGGGGTCAGAAGCAGGGAGCAGGCAGGGGTCTGGGACAGTGAGCAAGCCGCTGCATGGGACGCCCACAGCCAGGCCCTCTGAACACACTCAGCGGTATAGCAGACAGCTCCAGTCTGCACTCAGGGGGCTCTTGGGGGATCCTACCCC